ATGGAAAACCAACCTGTACTGCCTTGGGGCAATATAACTAATTGTGATGCATGCTTTGCCCTGATTGATGGATGGATTTATTGATTAATATTTTGTTTTGATAACAATTAATAACTTCATCATAGACTAATCTTTAATTAAATTAGATAGCTAAAGAATGATGCATTCAAATGCTATAACCATCTGAATGGTGTAAAATTATGTTGTTTGTACATAAAATATACCACAAGAGAGGTAATTTAGGATCTTATCAGGAATGTTCTGTTCAGTTATTAACAATCTCTGAAGATATTTATGTGACAGCCATAACAGGCTATGTATTTTTCAGTGATATGTGGACAGAGAAGTTCAGCCAGAAGCAGCAAAAAAGCTAAGAATATAGATTTTGCACAAAATCCTGGATCCATGCCCTTACTCAGCTTCTAGTAAAGTACAGAATTTCATTTTGGGTTTTTGTTGAACCTGTTTCCTTTTACAGGCAACCCCCGAAAAAGAATTTTGAAGAATTGTCAAACCTTTTTTTACAAGTCTCTAGGAGGCTTGTATGAATAAAGTACTGTACCTGGGCATTGTGACATCAAAGGTTAAAACTAAACTTTTCTCTTTAAAAAGAAATAAACAAATTTTTTAAAAAATATTTCCAGCATACAGAAACCAAACTCCATAATTTTAATATCCCTCTACTTTTATTTGTCAAGAAAAAGACAAGGAAAAAAGCGAGAAGAGCAGTGGCTCAGCACATATTCACTCAGCTTTATCTCACTATTTACCCCTTCTGACAAAGACACATCCAACTATTGCTACTCCTTTTAAAGCTGCCAATGGAAAGAAAGATTTTTCTTGGGGAGAAGGATCTCCAGGGGAAGCAGTGAAAAAACATGAGAGGAGGAATCTGAAAGAATTCACTCCCACCCATCTACAGGAGATTCCTAGAAGCATTGTTAGTCTGAAGGTTTCAAAATACCCATTCCACTTCTCAAAGGCAAGGTCAATTCTGGCAGGTTGATTTTAAAGCAGCAATGGTGTCTAGCTGGAATCTCTCACAAGGTTGGAATGTTAGAAGTAGACCCAGGAGAGAGGTTTTAATGTACGAAATGCAGGTGAGGCAGCCAGAAAGACATGATGAATGCAATTTATCACTGAGCTCTGCAATTTATCACAATGGAATCACAGGAAACAAGCAAAACAGATAAGTAGATAGACAGACTGGATAGATTGAGATTCTCTGTGCATGGAGCTTCTTTGAAATATGCCAAGGAAATTACATGTTACGTGTTCTGATTTCCAAAGAGAATTTTATTGATGGAATAGAGCTGTGTGTTTCTAGGTTTGGGGTCCTTGTCCCCAGAAAAGAAAAAGATATTCTGAAGAATGAAAAAAAGCTAAAATTATGGGATGCTGTTTTGCTTCACTTTGGTTTTAATCCCCTTCTGGAGCAGCACTGGATACATGCCAGGAGGTAGGGCTTTCCATGTGCAAACAAAGAGCCTGTACTTCCCAGCCACCCTCCCCTCTGCTCAGTTTTCAAGTTCAGGTGCATGAAGGTCCACACACAGAAGCAATTTTGATCTGTGAGCTACTTTTGGCAATGTGCAAGTGATCAAAATGTGCTCACAGCAAACACACTCCTTCCTCACTCCCCTGCTTTTGTGAGTGCTTTTCTCAAAACAGGTCTGTTCTATCAAGGTAACAACTCTGAGTTTTACAGCAGCAGTGCTGGAGCAATACTGCAGCCCAGAGCATTGCTGCAGTGCTGGGTATTCCCCACCGCCCACAAAGCAGGGGCCTTGCAGCTTTCAAAACATTGCATGTACTATTTAAATTGCTTCACTGGGAGGAGAATTATGTGTTCTGCAACGCCTCAGGACAATGAGCCAAAGGAACTATAGAATATGAGCTTGGTGTTAGAGCAGGAGCTCTGCAATGCTCTGCTTTGTGTGTGTTTTAGCCTGCTATGTAACATTACTTTTACATTAACGTTTGTGGTTCCTTTTTTATGCACTCCAGCTTCACCATGCTTCCCCCTTTATATTTTAACAGTCAGAATCCTATGATCCAACCAGGGTGGCATGTTCAAAGCTCCACTCCTTTTTCGCACTGATTAAAAAATAAAACAGGCAAAAAAGCTCCTCAGAGTAATTGAACAAGCTTACTTCAAATAGCTTTTATTAACACTAGGACAAGACTATAGCCAAAGAATTATACAAAACACAAAACAAAAGGGATTTTAACAACTCGGTTGAAGACTATTTCACGCCAATCCAATGTTCATATATCTATAATCAACAAAGTTCTGAAGCACAATATTACTTAACATTACTCATTGGATACTTGCAGATACAAAAATGTATCAGGAATAATAACAATGATTCCTTTTACTCTTATGGAAATATTACTATTAACCTTTAAAAATGTTGCCCTTTGGGTCAGTCCCACTGATGCTTTATCCTTTAGAATCTGTTCTGCCTGGAAAGACAAATTACAGATAAACTTTCAGAGCTCTGAGCAAAAGGACTGGTTTTTATCATGGAAACAGATAGCAACATCAATTTCCCAAGAAAAAAATAGACATTTCAGCTGTGTATCCCTAGACCAAAAAGTCAGTCTTGTAAAAACCCATGGCAGTAAGCCTGCTTTGAAAGCCTTAGTTATGACTTCACCAGGTATTGCTTTATGCTTTCCTACCACATCCTAACTTAGAATATTAAGCCAATCATGAAATTTAAAATAGCAGTAACCTAAGCAGCAAGAGACATGAGTATGAACCTGTTCCCCTAACACATGTCGTATTAAACACTCATGAAGTCAGTAGAATAGATCCAGCAGAGTCAATTTTCTTTCAGACAGACCTTTCTAGGAGCAGAACTGGCACTTTCTATCAGAAAAAGGTATGTGTGGGCAAGCTCAGATATTTTACCTGGGCTTTTTTTACAGTTTTGTGTGGCTGAGTGCAGAGTTCAGGTTTCTCCTCTAGCTGCCTCCCAAATATTACCCAAAGCCTGTTAGAGGAGGGATTTAAGTGGTTTTTGAATCAGGACATCCTATGGCTCTGCTACTGCAAAAGTGTCTCTGGCCATGCAGGTGTACCATCAAAAGGAGGAATGTGTGGAGATTTGGCACAGAATCCCTCTGACCACACAGTACCAGTGCCACTGCTTGCATGCATCACTCATCTTCAGACCATGCCCACAGAAGCATGTCTTTGTCATAAAGCACAGCTCCTGTAAATGACAGCCCAACTCATAGTGTGCTAATTGACATCTAAAGAGCAGTATCTTTGATGGTGCAGAACAATTTATATTTTGCTGTAATCTATGCTAACATGCTGAACCACAGAGCCTGGCACTGGAGCAGGATGAAGGATTTTGCAGAAGAGACATAACTGAGAGTTGCTGGAACATCCGTCCTTTTTGGTCTTCACTTTCTGCAGTGGGTGATTTACTAGTGATTAGAACTGAGCTAGTAACAAGATCTCATGGGACAAAACCCTTTCGGATCAAGTGAAAAAATGACATTGTTAAAATCAAAATGGGTTTCTTTTGAGGTTAGAGAGGAATGTAAGTTTCACAATTTTTTTTTTTAAGAGTCAGCAGACAGCCAGCTAAATAGTACTCTTAAAATACTGCTGCAGTTTGGATCTGTTACAAAAATGAAGCATTTAATTGCTGCGAGAAGTGACAAGGATAAGCGATTCTGATTCCCACACCAAGGGCAGGCGAATCTGTCAGAAAACAGATTTTTTTCAGATGGCGTCAGTTTTCTACATGTTATAAGGGTGAATACAATTACAGGTACAAAAACAAAGCAAATGACATGACAAAGAAAGATCTTAAATGATAATTTAGAACTCAAACTCCTTCAAATCCAGGATGAAAAGCAAGTAGCAGAAACTTGATTTAAGAGAGATCCTTTCCTGGCAGGTTCCACACACCACATCTCCCCTCCCCAGGTACATATTCTATTTTACTTCCATATGGAGTCAGTAAAAAAAAAAAAAAGTACAATGGTTCACAAAGCTCTATTGTGACCTTTAAAAATAAAGCAACCATGCACTGCTATGCTTCTGGAAAGGCAACTAGTGAGAAAAAAAATAAAATTCCTCTATCAGTCATGTTATGAAGTTTCTGCTGGAAGCTGAGGACTTCTTGGGCAAATGCACAGTACACACATCAGCACACGTGGCAGCTGCTGCTGCTGCTGCTGCTGCTGCTGCTTAGGAGAGAAAACAGCCCAGGCAGGTTCAAATCTGCATGAGCGTGGGCATGCTGGTGGGACACGGGTGGCATTTCCCAAAGAATAAATGCTTGCTGAGCACCTCCTTGCCCCTGCAAGCTAATAGGAGTTAGTTGTTTTACAGCCATCAGTGCCTTTGGAAAAGTTCCCTCTAATTCTTTGTCCCAGACACATTGCCCTGAAAGTGTCCTGCTGTCTGTCTACAAAAATTAGTCAGTCTCTACATTCTTGTTCTCTACAGGACCTCTGGTGTTGGCTGCAGCAAAACCTTTCTAATATTTCATCTCCGGTTATGACTCTCAGCTTTTCAGAGAGGCTGCACTTAGATAAGACACCAACTAAAATATCACATACTCTAGAGAGGGGTTTGTTTTGTCACTTATATTCAGCCTGCAGCATGTTGTTGACTTTTTTGCAAAGTAAAAGCATAGCCATCTTTATTTGCATAACATTTTCCATTTCTTTTATGATGTTTATTTAAGATAGCCTAATGATTTTACTTTCTCAGATTCACTTACTGGGAATTAGTTGCTTCATTTGCACTGAAAGAAAAATTAGTAAAGTATGTTAATGATTAAAAAAGGGGAATAATTCTGTCATCTTTACACTGGCAATAGTCCCATGAACTTTGATTACCCACTAGAAATGTTGCCTAAAAAGAGATCATATAATCAAGATGCAATTTATATTAAAACCAAATGAGCACATGCAGAATTCCTCCACAGAATCCAAAAATGCAGTGCAAGACACTCATGAAGGCTTCAGCAGTTCTGAGATTTGCTGTTCATCACTGTTTTTACTCCAGCCCAGGTAAGAGCCTTAAGCTGGAAAAAAAAAATTATTCTTTTCTTGATCTCCTGAGTCATGTCTCTTTTTAGTTTTCAGTTTGTACTATGAACTGAAGGACCTAAGAATACAAGAAAAGTACGAGAAAAGCATAATAATAAAAGAAAAGATCCACTGAGCTTAATACTTTGTTCCTAATGCTAGAGAAGAAAATGGACTGGAGCAAGCATGTTAGTGAGACTTGCTGCTGGGACATCTCTCATTCTGGTGGTTGGTGACTGGTAGAGTGAAAATTAATTCAGGATTCCCTCACGAGGCAAAGATTTGCTGCAAAAGGCAATGGCAGCCTGGGGTGGAGGTACCACGGGATGTCCTTCTGCCTGCCTGCAGCCCTTGTACCACCAGAACCAGGCAGAGGATCACCCCGACTCTGAGTCCTCCCTGCTGCCTCCTCAGCTTCACCTTCCCCATGGAATCACACACACAAAACACCCTTATCCCATCTTGTTCATGCATTTCAACTCAGTTTTAGATGTAATCTAAGCTCAGATGTAGATATTTTGGCAGTCAACTTGAAATACCTGGGACTGAATTTTCAGAGGTGTCAATCTCTCTGGCCGAGTGGGAAAGGTCTGTGGGAGACATGAGACTTTGATGTCTCCTCAAAAATCTAATTTTTACATTTGAAACACACAATTCATGCATCTTTCTGAAATTCTTGCAATCTGTAGTTGAATCCAGTTAAAACTGGGCATTTTTAAGAGTGTCTATGTGAATATTTCCCTAGAACTATGACTAAAATTGCTGGAAGATATTTTAACTCCAGTCCATGGGGAGCTATTGACGGTAATAAAAAATACTGTGAGAAGAAAACAGCAGCAAGTGAAACTGCCCTCTCAGAAAGCCCAGGTCTGCTTTGAAGGAAGTGTTGATATTCACCATAAGCCTCAACCATTTCCCAGAGGGCTGTAAGATGCCTTGGAATGACATAATCCAAAAGCAATGGCGTTCTTGACTTAAAGGGGAAAAGAAAAGCAGGGCCTGATCCATCTCCCATCGAAATCAAAGAGGACTTTGCTGTTGACTTCAGTCAGAACAGAGTTCTGGACACAATCTGTGTGCAGTTTATTAGCACACTTGTTTATCCAAACCATCCTAACTTCAACCAACAGCACGTCTAGATATCTGTCTGGGACTACATCTGTACAAATGTATAAGTGTGAGTTTATAATGTTTAATTCAAGTCATTCTGGCGTTTAAAAAGCATTTCCAGCTTAAAAAGACAGCTTTAGATGATTTGCACCCCAGAAGACAGAGTTTGATTGGAAAAGTTTGTAACTCACATTTCAGATTGCAATTCATATAGAAGTTCATGCAAGCTAAGGACACAAACAGATTTTAGGGTTAATTTTAAAATGATGTTACTATGCACTCAATTAAAATTTTGCAGCCATGATTTCAAAATGTGAAAAGCTCTACAAATTACCCAACTCATCAGCTATAGCCCTTGGTTTTCTTGAAGGGAAATTTCTTTGATGACCATAACAAAATTGCAGTAAATGGCAAGTAAGATTGCCATCAGGAGTCTGCTGAAAATGCAGGAGGAACTCCTGATTGCTTTAGTCGTGTGAACAACCTCTTCAGAACAGCCCAGAGTCAGGCAAGGTGGCTTACACCAGGAGTTAATTTAGCCTGCTGGGACTCTTTGCATTACTAAAACGAGCATGGTTTTGGCTTGTAAATGTGGGGTAGAATTTTATTTCACTTTCTGAGGGTCAGAATTTTATTTCCCTTTCTAAGGGGCATACATTCATTTTAGAGTAAACCTTTCAGAATAAAAGTTTACTTCACATTATAGGAAATGACATCCCTGTTTTTTAGATTTCCCTTTTCAAAGCATGCCTCAGATTTCTAACTTGTAGTGGAGAGCTTTGGTATAAGTAATAAAAGTCTTTAAAATTAAAATGCTAATCGCAAACAAACCCAAATGCATGAAAGATATAGTCTGACTGCATAACAAAGAGAATTATATAATTCTATTTGAGTGAAATCTTTCATCTTTGATTTACAGGTTTGAGTCTGCCTATAACTGAAACCATATTGTTCCATATCTTTCATATCATGGCCTTCCCCAAAATCTTGTTTTAATTAAGGTTCCTTTCAGATTTCAGAATAAAAAGCATGACAGTCTTCACTTATGGCTTTAATATATGTATCCCTTCTCTTTTTTTTTTTTTTTTGAAATTGGCAAATATATAAAAAATGAACATCACTTGCTTTTAAAAGCTGAGCAAGCTATCAAATACTGCAAGCTGAATACTTCAAGGTATCTCCTGGGGTTCATTAGGTGAGAAAGTTGTAAACAAAATAAAAGTTACTATAGCAGAGTTTTGTTCATTTGAAGTACTCTTACATACATGCCCCATATCTCTCTCTCTCTGACAGTAAGGCAACACGTGTAACAGTTTAAGCGTTCATTTTCAGCTAAAGGCACAACTCTATGTTACGTTCTCAAACATGGAATTAAACAGCTAAAGTCACATTGCAGGGAGATCTTGCTGCACTTCAGGAATCTAAAATAAAGCCTAAACCCTTTGAAGCTTCTTAAGCAACATCAGTTCTCTTGGTGCAGGACTACATAAAAGAATGAGTTCGTATTCACATCACGACCTGTAAAAAACACTCCCACACAACCTCCACAGAAACACCTGAGCTTCAAATGAGCTGCAGGCAGTTACTGAAGGTCGCTGCTTTGGAGTCAGAACGCAGAAACATTTCAGAACAAACTAAAAACACGTTTGAAAAACTATCCATACTCGATCTCTGCTGCACATATGGTGAGCGCTACTGTCAACTACAGAGGGTACAGCACTTTTTCTTAAAGGCAAAAGATCGCTCATTTTAGAGAATCGTGGATGTGTTTTTATGATAGAAAAGATTACATGAAATGGCCAGGAATAGGGAAGAGAAAATAAAGCACCACCAAGCACAGTACTTCAGGGGATTTATAGTACAATAAGAAGTGCTTTCCCTTTAGCTAAAATCTCTCCTCATAATTTAAACACTTTTCACTTATTCAGCTAAGAATTCATTATAGGAGGTTAAAAAATGGCACGTAAAATAAGGGTGAGGGTTTTTTTTCTTCATTACATGGAGCAAAGAAAACAGATTCTATTAACAATTTAACACAGTATGAAAAAAATTATCCAGTAAAAAGTGTCAGAAAGTGATTCACGGAGTTCACAGAGTATGTTGCTGGCTGTTGCAATTCTCATATCTATAATCTATCATGTAGAATTTTGCAATACTCTATTTCACAATTTGTGTTGGTGAGTGGGTCAAACAGCATTAAAAAAGCATGCTCTAGGCTCTTTCTCCCAAGTCTGTTTTACTGTAACTCTAGAATTGTGGCGGTTACATTTAAGGAATCTTTCGGGCTCTTTCAAGTCCATCCAAAGAACAAGTGAAGCTGCTATTCCGAGTTTTGTGCCCAGTGTTTATGTTCCATCTGATCTGTGCCACCCAAGAAGCAGACAAGACATGTCTGAGGGTGCTTTGGGGGATACACAATGATGTCACCCACAGGAAATATCAGGGAGGACTTGGCACTTCACAAGGCTGGCTCTTCTTCCATGGGCTCACCAGCAGCTCTGTAAAAATAAACAGGCAATCAGAATACGGCACAAGAGTACACAATGACATTGTAGATTTTCATGCATAATCAAAGCTGATTTTTCAGCTCACTCAGATGTTTATTTGTGTTATTCAGCTATCCATAAATAGAGTTTCTTTCCTAGGAAGTATAAACAAATGTCAAGTGGAAAAACATTTTAGATCCAAGCAATCACCAAAAATGTTCCTGTTTATATTAAAATATGTCAGAATATTTTATAACATTTTGTCCAGAAATGTACATGCTTTGTGTCAACAGAATCAAATAATTTAATGAAAAAAATAGCTGTGATACTTTTATTTTACAAGCTTTTGCAACTAAAAATACATGCATTTATTTTTTCAAGCGGGCCCACATCATTAAAGCAAAATAGTTCACTAGTAGCTAGAACTTAGAACTTAGAAGCTTAGAACTCTAAGGTTCTTCTCTAGTCCCCTAGTTATTGATTTTGTGTTTTCATAAACACATTGTGTGCCTGCCTGCAAGTTTTGAGACTAAATTCTGAACCTGATCAGCATTTCACTCTGAAAGAAAAAGTATCTATTAATTATATCAAATCATATTATATCTTTTATATGAAAACTTCTGGGAAATTAGCAGCTTAGGCAAGATGAGCTCTCTAAGACGACCAATAAGAAAATTATGAGAATGCAGACAATGAGCTGACAAGCTACTGCACCTGAGGAATATGATGGCAATTATAAAATGGGAAGATTCTGAGATCATGGAGAGACCTTATAATTGAAAGGCAAAGAATTTGGACAGAAACTATTTTTCATCTCAGTCTGTCAGCCATAAGAACTAATTTAATATAGTAAATTCAAGCAATTTTGAAATCAGGGGAGAAAAGTAAATGTAAATTAATAAACAAAATGTTTACTAGTTAATTCTTGTAAGCCAGTGTAATAACTGGCTTCAGTAAAACATTCCTCAGAAAGTATAAATTCATGAGATCCCATGGAAAAAAAGTAATTAATGGGGGTTTGCTTGGGCTTTGATAGTTTATTCAGCAAGGAAGCCAGAGAATTTTAAGTGAATCTGGAATTTATTAGAGTCTTTCCCAGTGAAAAAATCAGCAGTATGTCTTTAAATTATTTTTTACAGGTTATCCCTTTATGATTTGGAATGAACACTGATATTATGTTGAAAAATATGTCAGGTGAATGACATGTGAAAAAGATGATGTTTTTCAGACTAATCACTTTCTAAAGGGTATTGACTCTAAAAGATTAATCTATAAATCTCAAATCTTTAGTTCCTCACAACATGGTGGGGGATGTTTCCTGTGTACAGTAACCACTGCAGCTCCCTCATTCCTGAGAAGTGAGGTGAAGCACCCTTGCACTCCCTCTTTTCCCCCCTCTTTTCTGGCTTGCAGCAGCAAGCACACAGTGGCAGCCAAGGTGAGATGGAGCCCTGCCTGCTGCTCAGGTCTTCAGGTGGAATACAAGATCACACCCCAGGTTAGGAATTCATACGGATGGTGTCTGCTGCTGTTGTGCCAACCACACATTTCCACTTTCTCCAGCCACCTGTGGGAGACCTGAAAGTCCTCTGGCATAACACAGAGGGTCAATAAGCCCTTATTAAACATCCAGAACCTTATGGGTCTGTCTGGAAAGAAGATCATTTGGAAGCAGATGATGGCTCCGTTTTTAGGTTCTGCAAATGAGAAACAATATATGTCAATAGATTTCAAGTGGTGATTGGCAGATCAGGAAGGCTTGAAGCTCTAGAAAACCTCTGGAAGTGAGAATAGGGGTTTGGATTATTTATAAGAACCTGGGGAAGCAGTACATACAACAGTCTGTTCACGTGTTTGACTTCTGGGACTGATATTCTCATGAACATAGTACAATTGAGGATCTCATTTAGGACTTCTTTTGCTAGGAAATTTTTTACTGATAAGGTGCTTCTGAGAGCCAGGAGTGGCCCTCACTGAACTTGAGTGCTATATTTTAGTATATTCCCATATATTCCAACAAGAGGCCGACATTCTTTACCAGCCAGAGCATAAACACCAATAATAATTATTATATATAAGTTCCAGATACAAGGTCCTTGGAAAAGGAGACAAGGTTAGAGCGCCATGGCACTCCAGCTGTTGTCTCACAGTGTGAGTACGCCCACAGTCTTCTTCAGTCTCCTTTTGAAGATTTATGTGTATGCTTTAACTTAATTTTATTAGTGTCAGAGAAGTCACTGGATTTATCCAATGGTTTATCACTAAAAACACTTTTCTGAGATAACAGCTCAGGTGAGAGCCAGTACTGTTTTGGGGCCAAAGGACAGAGAAAAAAACACTATAAATCCTATAGCAGTGAGCAGGGAATCAATGTATATCCATTCTGACCAAATCAAAAGTTGTCAAAAGAAAAATCTAGGGGGCAGAGTCTGACAGGCCAAATTTGTGTTACTTCAGCTTTGTCACTGTGAGTTACGTCAGTTCAGTCAGTCTTCCTGTAGCTGACAGGAAGTTGGCATAAAAATATAAAACAGGCAGAACCCCCCATCCCACCCTGTATGCTCTGAGCAGCTCCTCAAGATGCAGCTGTGAGCTCAGGTCTGATCTAAACCAATTCCATGCAGTCAGCAAATTCAGCAAGACACCAGTTGAGATTGTAATGATTATAGAACCACAACTGTGATTTTTCTCTAAGGCTTCACCGTGGCTCATTTAAACTGAAAGTTCCTAGGAGCTGAGCCTGCCTGCATTCACTTTGGTGTGCTGTGAAGAGTGCTTATCTTTAGCTTTCTATATGTAGAATTCTGACTATGGCAAAATGAAAATATCTCTTTGCAGTTAATGCTAAACAAAATGATGCTGTTTAAACTTAAAAAAAATAAATAAATAGATGAGGCAAAAATCCTACCATATGGATAAAATCTGGAAAAACATGTGACATCTTAAATATTGTTCTGTGGCAATTGAGTATGTTATTTATGAGAAAATTATTAAAAGTAATTAATCTACAATTTTTAAAAAGGTAGTGTTTAAGAATGTAGATAAACTCAGTACATCACCCAAAAAAAGAAAATGTTTCTCTTGCCTTATTTTTTAAATGAGAATTACAGAGACTCCTCTTAGCTACACTATCACACACACAGAAATACAAAGTCAAGGTATGTTTCCAAGGTAGAAACTGCCGAACAAAAGATAGATTTTTCTGGGATGGTACAGATGTTTTATGCCATAATCTGTTCCTAATTTAGCTCAGCTGTGTCAGGGAAGATCATTGTAATTGAAAAGTGATCCTCTGGTAGCAAAGAGCTGGGGAAAAAGAGGTACATTTCTATATCATGAAGGTGATTTGGGGAGTGTCTAAAGACATTATATAAGACATCCTGAGTAAGCGTATATCCTAGTAAAAATGGACTTAGTATGGATCAAAGAGAAAGGAACTAAAAGTAAAACCATCCTAGTTTAAGAGCAGAATAAGGTAACTACATATATGCTCTCAAAAGAGGAAGTACTGTCCAAACAAGGCAAATTAGATAAAATATAAACTCTGGCAAGTTAAATGTAAACCCTCAATGAAGCAAACTAAAGGAAAGTCTGAAGAGCAACATATTAAACACATAAAAGCTAATAATAAAAAGATCTTTCAAAATACATCAGAGGAAATGATCAAAGCATAAAAGGAGCATCAAGGAAGGTAGACCACAAAAGCAAAATGAACTATTTATATCTGGGTTCACTAGAGAAGTGTCAGTGAGATTTTATTACTTGCAGATGAACTATCCTAAACTGAATCAGCGCTAGAACAAACTGATACACCAAACATTGCCAAATTTCTAAGAGCAGATGATATTTGTCTGTTAAGTTCCAGGGAAATACGATTAGGATGTTGTTAAAGAAATAGTTATTGAACATATTCTACAGTTTAACTCAGCAAGAGGTAGAGAAGGCAAGAAAGGCAGTTCCCCTTTTGGAAACCACAGGAGGTACAGTAAGCCTGTATGGCAAAATTGAAAGCAGCTACAATCAGTGATAGAATTAGTAGGCATTTAGGTAACAGTCATTTGGGTAAAAATTAGGTCTTAACACTTATAAAGATGGCAATCCTTTCAAATTTATTAGAAGTTTCTGAAGGAAATTGGCTAAGAGGGATCAAGTGATTTCCCTCTGCAAAGAAGGTCTTCCAAAAATTTTATCCAAGTGCTTAGAAGAGCCTAGGTTCTTGGGAGAAGGTCCTTTCACAGATCAAAAATACATCAAAAGCAGGAAGTGCATAATAATATTGGTGAATTTTCACCATGGAGGAATTCTACAGAGCATATCAAAAAGATTAGGTAGACTACAAGTAGATTTAGGTGATAATATTTGCTGATGATGCCAAGTTGCCAATACTACTCAGCTCTCAGGCCCATAACAGCATTTCTATAGGGAAAAGAAAGGAAACAACAAAAACTCAGAACACACAAAACAAGGGAGGACAGCTTTAACTGTTTTAACACTGATGGCTATGACTGAGAGGAGTTAATGGCAGAAGAGCAGAAAGACACAGAAACTAAACATCCTCAGTATTAGCTACCATGTAAATTCACAATGTGCCCAGCACCTGGAGTCTTGCATGCAGCTCTTATTCCATCTCAAAGAAACTACAAAAAGCACAGAGATGAGTAAAAATCATCAAAGGTAAGAAATTATTTTCATATCAGCAGGAATATAGTCTTGAGAAGCTCAAGCCTTTAAAACCAGATATGGGCCAAAGATTATGAGTAGGAAAGAAGTGGTTTTCTTTCTCACAATAAAGGCCTAGAGATTTCCTAGTGATTTTATTGGTTAATAAGTAAAAGCAGCACGATGCCTGATGAGGCTGTGGGATTCACTACCCAAGTGCCAGAGGTGTAAGCTGGTTCAAAAAGGTTTTGACAAGTTTATGCCTGTGTATGTATCCTCGAGGCTTTTACACAGGCTAGGTCAGATACAGCAATTTAGATCCATCAACTCAGCAGGGCAAGGCTGGTGCTCAACCTCCTCTACTCCTGGTTCTCTTCCTTATGCACCCACCACCAAGGAATGGGAAGAAGGTGGGCAAGATAAGGAGGCACGCTGACGTAGGAAAGCTGCTCTGCAGCTCCTGAGCCTGGAGGGGATTGTAAGCCCTGTGGGTTATGGCCAGGTATGTGCACAGGTGAGGTAACACTCTAGCACAGGTGAGGTAGATATCAAAATAAATTCAAATAATGAAATGCCAAGTGAAGCTTTTTGAGTTGATAGACAAATATGGCAGGTGACCCTAAATGGTAGCTAGCTGTACCCCATGATTCAACTATTTTCTCTAGTATATAATATAATGCAATTTGACTGAAACTGCAACTGGTAGCTCTGTAACACTCAGAGTAAAAATTATACTTTGTTTTAATTTCCATTTGAGTAAAATCTATGCTCAGCTGAACCAGAGCCATAAAGCCAAATTCTGATAAATGTCATTCTCAAGATTTACTGCTTCCTGTAAAAATAGTAAATGCAAGAGATCTCCCTCCACAGCCTTTACTTTTTCCATTTCAAGAAAAAACATACAGAAGCTCCAAGGTATCATGGACAGTAGCATACTGAATATTTTCACAGTATGATTTCTGAAACAGATTTCTGGCCAAAGAAAAACTCTAATCATCTAAATCTGTATCTCACATAGGGAATAAACAGTTATCAACACACAAAAGTTCTGGTAGTTAGAAATGTTTTATAGGACATGCCTGTTTCAATTGCATCTCTATTTAAATGCCCGTTAACACCAAACATATTTCCTTTCCTATCCAAAAACTCTTTTTTTCTATATCTGCACTCTTCCAAAGACTATAATCGAGATTAAATTGGACCTTAAGATGCAGAATTATGCTTTGGTAAAATAAAACACCAAAAGCGTAGCAGCTTTCCACGTTTTCTCTTCATTTACCCTGCCAGAGAAAATCAAGTAAAAAATAATCGGCACTGTCACTTGAAGAAAAGAAAGAAAGAGAGAAGAAATAAAAATACTTTATATGGGCCTTAGCCAGGAGCATTTTATCCATCAGTGGTAAATGAGTCAGATATGAGTTGGCCAGGAAAAGAGCTGCTTTACCCAAAATCTGAGTTTAAAGTGAGTCATCTCACTCCAACACCAATATATCCTCCAACATAACTGGCCAGAGTTTCCCGCAAAGAGACTCTTTCTGCTGCTCTTCATCTGGAGCCCTGGCCATCCAGAGCTGAAGTCTGGAGGATCTCTGCCTTCGAACCAGTGAAACAGGCTTGGAGTTGCAGGCCAGAGCTATCAGCCTGGCTGACTGTGGTGGGAATTAAGAGGAAGTAAATGGACTCCTGGTGTAATGGAGGAACCCTTCAGGCTGCCCCATCAGCCACGGTGCCTCCTGTTCTCCTCCCACCCTACCTGTCACAAGCAACTTTCCCAAATGAACACACAATGCAAAAGCTTGCAACAGGTCTTTGGAAGGTGCCCCTATCTACACGAGTAGGAGGAAGGGCACACCTTCTAACAGAGCTGGACTCTTCACATCCCTGCTGCCCTCTGTTTGCCATAAGAAGCGGCTGGAGAAGGGGCATTGCATACATGCCCCTTTATTACAACAAACATTAAAAACGTGAAAAATCAAAGCTGAACTCGTCTCTACATTCCCGCTGTTTGTGTTGGTATGTACCTGCAAAATGGATGGTGTGCTTATGTGAAATGAAGTAAATTATGCAGAGCCCAAAGCATGCAATGTCACAGATTCACTCCCTGGACATTCCATGATGGATTTTCATTCACACTCAAAGTGCAGGTCTCTGCACTCTCAGGTCTCCTCACAGTTGAGGACCCTCAAAATCCAACTTTCAAGAGGATCACCTTTGATTCCATATTGTTCCTTACATTCATCAGGAAGAAAACAAAGAAAATGATGCTCAGAAGCCTCAGAAAACCTAACAGTCAATTTTGGTCCAGTGGGACAGCATTTTTCTTGTCCTGCCACTCTCTGATGGCAACTTGGCTCCATGTGACTTCTTTGAGGGTTACAGATGTAGAAAGAGATTTCAGGACGCATGCCTGCGTAGGCTTTTTTTTTTTTTTTTTGTTGCTGACAAATGTCTGCAGCACCACAGAAGATATTCCAAACGAAGTCATTTTTCCACAAAACAATTCATCACAATGGATTCATCCCTACAAGAGTCCAGAACTGATGAAGTGTAATGAATCTGGCAGCCACATGAATTCCACTTGTGTACATTTCAATACATCCATTTTTTTCCATGTTTCTCAGCACTGCCCTGAAATTCTGTTTTCAGAATGGGTGGAAACTGTCACAGGTTATCAGTTGATAGGTAATAAGTGCAGTAATTAAGTGCAATGTTAGTCAAAGGGTTATTTTGTTCAAACCGTGTAGGAGTAGCAGTTGCTCTTGGTAGTCGTAGTTTTGAGTGGCAGCACATAACAAATAAAATGTTTGGTTCTTCTCAGCAATGTAAACCACACAAAATTAACCATGCCCTTTTCCAGACAATTTATAGCTTTAATTGACTTGACTGCATTATTTCCAATACTTCAACTAAAATTATTTGTATTTTAGAGCTATGCACACACAAGGGGGAATTTTGCTGTCCCTAGCTAGCAAAAGTGTCTTGTAACTGTCAGAAACATATGAAAAATTACATTATTCTTTAGCTGAGCACTGATCAGCAGTCACAAATCTAAAATACATCTTGTGTTAGTCGTGGATTTTTCTCTAAGCTTTTATGAAGTTTTCTGCAATAATCCTAGCACAAGAATAGCCATGGCATATTAAAATATAATTACAATTGGAAAGGTAATTATTAAAATACTGTGAACTTTACTAGCTAGCTCTTCTCCCTGTGTGTCCCTTTGAGCCATGCCTAGAGCATTGCACCAGTCCCCTGGGTGCCTATCAGCTCAGTTGTGATTAAAAGAGACACAGCACAGGGGGAAAGAACTGAAGCAACTAAGAAGCAGTCACAATGTAGGAGCCATGGATCTTTCTGGCTCCACTCCCACCACTGCTGTCCCTACCCACAGCTCCCTCCTTTCTCTACTGTTGTTCCTCAGCTTGATGAGCTGATGAGTCTCCTTATAAGGCTTTTTTCAACTTTCTTCCTCCCTCCCCTGTTTTCTGTGTATGATGGAACCCAAGTGGTTTCACTACATTTGTGTCTTTCTCTACTGCTGAAGATCAGGAATGTTTGCCCTTAAGACAAAAAAATAGGAAACTCCAAAAACTTCTGCAGTGGCTTTTTTGATTATAGATGACACAATATTCAGTGGTTACTGAGTTTTTTTCACGTGTAATTGGAAAAACACACAATAGTATTTACTGCATCATTTTCTTAATTTGGAAGTTTAAAGCAATCTTCATTAATGTAAAAATTACATGACAAGCTGGAAAAAACAGCATTCTCATTCTTTGCTGGTGTACCTTCTTCTTAGTACATAGAAAATGTTGGCCCTAATCCTGGTCAGGATTGCTTAAGTTTCATACTGGAACTGTTCACCTTTCTTCCAGGGAAGTAACTTTTAATGCCCATCTAATATCACTTAATAATTATTTAAGTCCGTCCTTATTAAATTTATCTGACTGTTTGTTGAACACCTTCCTAGAAAATTAAAACTAAAAGAGATTGAAAAGTTCCTAATGAGAAGAATATGGTCGATTACACGTGACCATGCACATTTACTTCATATGGATATTGCACTTTTTATGCTGTAGCAGGAACTAGACATGAGAAGAAAACAATGTTCTTATACTAATCATGAATTTTAATACAGAAATAGAGATACGAAACCCAAAACGCTGCTAACATAGAATATCTCTGCTTCTAGTGGCTAAGTGAGAGAACTGAAATCCAGGGATGAAAAATTTCAGGTACCTCAATTAGCCTATAATTTTGAAACAACCTTTAGTCTTCCTTTCTTCTTTGTTTCACTAGGCTGGAGCAAAAGCCTTGTTCTCTGTAATAATTTCATGCACTTACCTGCTGCCTTCCTGAGGAATACACTGCTCAACATCCACTGAAAGAGAGGCCATAGCTGATACTGTTTCTGTCTCCTCCCTCTCTTGCTTCTGAGACTCAGCCAGAGCACAATCCACTGGCACAGAGTATGGCTCCACTGACTTCCAGTACTTGCCTAAGGAAAACACACATAATAATTTATGGGAATTTTAGCTAGCATGGTGGTACAAGAACAGTAATCACTTAGTTCAACATGGAGTGATTATAATTTAAAATCACTGTGGTATAAGCAGTACAGTTGAAATTTCAGACTGCAGTGAAGTCTATTTCTGAACCTAAGAATGCCAAGTTGGAAAGTGCTTTCATTCCAAGAGCTGTGTCACACCCTTCCCCAGAAGGTAATAAACTGGAGGAGTAATACACAGACTAATGAACACGGATTGTCTGGAAGGTTATTGGCTTTATCTACACCAGGTGATGGGAGTTCAGAGCAGGGTTAATAACTAGAAGCTCTGATATGGCACACAGTTGATGCAGAGACAGCAAAATGTAGAAAAATGCACATTCTTGTACAAAGTGCTCACACAGCACTGTCTTGAAAAGGAAAGAAGTCAGAAATGCCAGCTCAGACTGAAGTGGTGTTGCCAGAACAATCAGGCTTGTTAGTCCTGGATGTTCTTTCTCCTCCAACCTCAGGGCGTATACTAGAACAATAATTTAGTTAAAACTTTCATATATGAACTGGCTGTTGCTGGAAAGCTGCCAGGTATCATAAGGGATAGAACTTTCTGGTCTGCTATGTAAAAATACAGCAGTGGATTAAAAGCATGAGTATTTTCAGATTTCTGCCTGCAACAGAAGAATCTCATCAAGCAACACCAAAAATATTGGCAGGTGACTCATCCTAAACACATAAAATAATCTGCTACTGCCCAGCTATTAAGAAGTAGTTTGATTATTGGAAACCACATGAACAAGTATGAATTTACATATCTATTTCTTAACAGTCCAGTAAAACACTGAGCACTCACTAATTGCCAGGTGGATGACACCTGGGAATTAGGAGCTTTGGGAAGTCTGGGAGCTCTGGATCAGAGCTTACTCAGTGTTTAGCAAGAAGCTTTCAGCAGCTGCTGCAGAGGTTGGATCAGGGTACTTATCTGGGAATTAGACGGAGGGTTTCAACAGCTGTGAAAGAGAGGGGATCAAGCAGGGGACCTTTCCAAGGACTAAAACTAGGATTTTGGCAGCTGGGCAGCAGGCTGAGCTGAGGTGCTTATCCAGAGGGTAGCTGGAGGCTTTGACAGCTGGGAGGCCAGGCCAGCAGTGGTGCTGCCTGTGCTGCAGAAAGGCTGCTGAAAACTCCCTCTTTGGTAACACAGCTCTCAACACAGTTTCAGGCTTTCGGAAGGATGAACTTTTCCCTCTAGTGAGAAAGCAGCTGTCAATAAAGTCTGAATATGTCTTTATTCAAAAACATCATTGCAAGATGAAAGCCCAAGTCAATCTTCAAGAACAACCAGTGAGCATGGCCAGAGTGTTTCTTTGAACTCTAATAGTGTGCACGTTTGAGTAGTTAGCAGAATCTTTAAATAACGGGGACCTTCTGGGGATAAAATGTAAAGTGTATTAAGTATCCTACAAAGTTGAGATTAAGTGTTAGGAGGTTGGCTTTGCTCCAAAGACATGAAAGACAGAGCTAAAAAGTTATGTACATAACAGTAGGCTCAATGATTGGAGCCTGGCAAATTTTATAAAAACAAGACAAAAATATTCTCTATTATTACTGTGCTCAGAGACCATATTCTCTATTCATTAAAAAATACACTAAAAACAAACAAAAAAGTTATATGAGCATTCCACAATGTTCTCACAGATCCTATGTGCAAAAGTCAGTCTTTGCAATATACACCCAATTCAAACCCTATAATTTATGAGCTAAATGTTCACAGAGTGGGTGGGGTTTTGTTGCAGAAACAGATGTGCAAGAAAATCAAATCTGTTGGCATGGGAATAATACCCCCTCTTGCCTATAAAAGAAATGAACCCATGTTCACTGCTGGAGTTTTCAAGGGCTTTTATTCATAAAATAAAATATTAGTACCCAGCTACCACTGTGTTGCTCTCCTGCAGCAACAATAAAACAGCATCAGTGAAGATTGCTACATCACATTCGTTCATTCACACACAGGCTTGCACACCAGCTGGCCCCTGAATTCTGACTTTCTTGTAACATTAAAACTCAGGGCCAATTCAAGCATATTAGTAGGCTCTCTGTGCCCATTTAGCTGCCCTTCACTCCTGAGAGATTGGTGGTTTTCTCTGTTTCCCCACACTGAGAGCTGTGCTATGAGAGCGGCTTCAGCCATAGAGAGCAGAGTCAGGCCGGGAGGCAGGTGGCAGCCCATATACTGCAGTGGAGAGTCCTGGAGAAAGGAACTACATTGGCAGGGTGTTTGTGGTTTTTGGGGGGAAATGTTTAAGCAGGCACAATTAGAAATAGCACCCAGGTAGCAGTAGGTACCTCATGCAGAGAGGGCTCTCTGACGCTTGTGAAAAAGCAACAATAGGTTTTTCTTTGAAATCAGAAAACTGTAATTTACAAACACCTGGGGTAAGCAGAAGAGCTTTGCAAGCTTCTTTTTATCCAGGATAACCTTTGTTTGCTGTATACAAAATATACAGGCCTTGAATGCGTGCTCAGCCAAAAGATTTGCAGGCAAAGAGTTACGGAATGGGAAGGCAATCACAGCACACAGCTGCAAAGGAGCTTTGTCAGGAGGTATGCTGTGGATTGACAATTAAAAGAAGTCAAAAAAGCATTGGCCTCAAACCACTTCAACCTCTGAAAACACCATTTCTACTGTGCTCTACTGGAATGTGAAATTCTACCAGTGCTGTTACATTCATTGAGAAGAACTTGGTGGAGCTCAAGGGAAAGAATGAAGCATACTGCTGGTTTCATTCATGCAAAACTTAAGCAATCATAGACTGCAAGAAAAAAACCCAATGAAACCAAATCAGTCTTCTAGGTATGCTTTTACTTTCAGCATGAAAATATGCTTAAGCCTCCCTCAAAGACTTGTGTGAACATTGACTATTACCAGGAAATAATAAAAGGGAATGTTTCTGTCACTCCTATAGGCATTTGTAATTGCCTTTCATAGGTTTGGACATGCTGTACCGTGGCTTGCTCAAAAAACAGTGTTTGGGGTTGGTATTTTGCTATTGAACAAGATTGTTTAGAAATAGCCTATGACATGGGTGTGGGAACTACTAATTCCAAATGTATTACATTTTCAAAGAAGCTTTGGATCACTGTCAATACTAAACATTTATAGAAATTCTATTCTAGTTAGGAAAAAAGTTGTCTCTTAGTTTCAAAGTATTGTAGCTTCGAGGTTTTGCAAAAAAGCACAGAGAGGGTTTTATTTGATGTAAAATGTTGCTAATACTCATTATGAAAGTTGGATCACAGAAATACAAAACCAATATCCAAAGGCAATGCAATGATCCAAACAAATCAAGCTTTCTCAGTACCTCTTGAGATGCTAATCAATAGCCTAATGCTCTCCAGCCTGCCTAACTCTCTAAAATATTGAACAGGTACTTACTTCTCTTAGATCTAAATATGCATCACAAAGCTGCACTGAACTTCCTCGGGGCTCCTTTCTGTCATCCAAGCATATTCCATTCTTGTACTTGGTCTCTCTCCAGACAAAATGAGGTAAATATAACTTTTTAGGTAGTTGCAAGAAAAGGTAGAATGTTGTGTGTAAATAAGTCCAAACCCTTAGCAGCCTGACAAAGGTTTCAGAACAGCCCACTGGACTGCATGACTGTACCAGGTCAGCTGAAATCTAATTGTGGCAAAATCTAGTCATTCTGCAGATCTCTAGACTTTGCTCTCAGATTTACACTATATATACACGATATACTTGTTCTAAAAGCCACGCCATCTCTCTGAACAGTCATCATTTGTGTGTATTCCTACTCTTCTGTTTGTCTGTTTCTCAAGTCATCCTTTTTTTTGTTTCAGATCCGTTTTCCATTACATACATATTTTAGTTCAAACAATTGCATCTCTCTTGTGTCTGTGGTCTGTGTGTAGCATTCTGTCCTTATTATAATTTGCAAATCTATTCTATCTTGCACAGTACATGACCCTCCTTAACCTGCTGACTCCTTGCATACCCTTAACAGACTATTAACAAGGAATTTTAACTCATGAGTTACCCAAGAACATACCACTCAGCACAAAGGACTTACTGGAATATATTATATACAGTTGATTTAATTAGGCTTTGGCCATATCTAGGTGTCTACTGGATATGCATGATAAATTATATACCTACAATGAATTTTCTTTGTCACTTTGCAACTAAAATCAGATGGAGTAGTACTGCATGAACAGTGAATTGGGCATAGTCCCTTTTAAAAACTGCATTTATTTTATGCAGATGAATCCCAACCATTTGTGGTTCATCTCAAATGAAGGAAGACATTTGTTATTCATTTGTTATTCTAAAGGAGCCAGCAAACAGTAGAAGTCAGGAAGCTCCCACTGGCTCAGTAAAATGGCAGAGACCAGAAGATTAGAGAATTTAAAGGATGTGTGCTCAGTTGGATTAAAGCAATTGATGGCATAAGGTTCTTCAGTGAGCAAATGCTCTAAAGGATCTGGGTAGTTAAGGGTTGGGGTCAGAGCACACAAGTGCAGCAATAACGTAACAATAAAATAATGCAATTTTTAGCACTGTTAGATCAGCGCCTATTTGGAGCTTTTTAGCTTTATCTCAAGCTCCTGTGAATTTCAAAGTGAGTACCTTGAGAAAGGCTGCAAAAACAGAGTCTGACCAAACTATTTGTTAGAGCTCTAATTTACCTATCTGTTCCTGTCCCTCCTGACAAACATCTATTTCATCCAAGCTGCTCTGGAATGAAAAGATTTGGGAATATTTAGGAATCAGAAATGTTTAAATGATTTTAACGGTTTACTTTTTCAAGGCTAATACATGGGAGAAAAAAAGAGATGCTGAAGAAAGAAAAATAAAAACATATATATATATTAGACACAGCATGTAAATGTATATATAACCGTTTTTCCACTCTTTTCTCTGAAACAGTAGCATCTATGACATTAATTAATAATAAAAAATAATCCCAAGCCCACTAACCCACCAACTCAAACTGAGAAACATACTTTGAATTTCAGTGGTCTTTTTTAAAGAAGCTATTGCATTCATATTGGGGATTTGGTGCACAATATCTTCTGGGAGAGGCTCCAGCTGAAAGAATAGAATAGAATAATATAAATATTCAATAAGCCACAGGGACATAAAACAAACTGAAATGATCTAATCCTCAAGAAAACTCAGCCCATGAACTGGTTAATATGTTGCTGGTATCAGTTCTAAATGTATAGTCATGATTTTGTTTTCTGTTTTCCAGCCATGTAATTGAATTCCAAGGGGCTTTTCTATTGGCTGCAAGACTAATCTATGGAGTCTCTGAAGCAGGTGCATGTCTGTGTATCATTCATTAAAAAATGCTAGTTATTTGTGTAATTTTTGTAGGTTCCTCACAAACCAAATTCCACTGTATCTGTATACGCAGCTGGGCACTCCAAACAAAACCTTGCTGAAGCCGCACTGGAACCAAAGTGTGCATTCTATTATCTTTATGTTTTTGGTGTTATTTCATCTAACCATCTTACACATTACACATTTTAAGGTTTAGAGGGGAAAACCATAAAACACAGTTGCTTTTACTAGCTCGACATTAATTTCAAATAAAATAAATTAAAAAATTGTTATGCAGATTAGCAGTGAATGTCCCTAAGTAAGTTTTTTACAGAATCAGCTGCATTTTAATTTGCTGGTTTTAATTGTACATTCTTTGAGTAAGGCTGCACTAGGAGAAAGAATTGTTCAGTTACTGCACAGTTATTTTTGCCCTGAAGTGGATAAATATAAAAAGTAAACTGTAGTTTGAATGTCATCCACATCTGCTTTTTTGTCCACCCTCCACACATTTTCTCCTAGGAAGAAAGGGTAAAAAATTGTTTGGGCTAAATGCTTCTCCTTGCACTGTGATTCTCCTTGAACTAGGCTAAGAGTCATGAAACTCTTCTGCTTCCCCACATAAAACTGCCATGGCTGGGTGTGCAGGCTTGCATCCTGAGGAGTAGCAACTGTGCCAAGGTGGACAAAAAAGAGCAATCTCAACGCCAATCTCTCCTCTCTAATACTAAGGAAGTTCAACCACCGCTGACAGGAGACATCTGTACTGCAGACAAAACTCCTTTCTTAAATATGCCTGGGTCTATTTTAAACTGGGTCAAGTGAAGCCCACCCAAGGAGCTTCCTTTGTGAAGTTAATAGTTCAGTAGCCATCAGATACTGTCCTCCAGGTTGCTACTGCTGCATGGCTACTCACCAGCTAGATAAAATCAACTTTGATCCAAGCACACATAGTGGGAAGTAACTGCAGTGTGGATACTCCCTCAGTGGTGCTATTTTAAGCAAGCTCAGCTACAAATCCCAAAACTTCTGAGATCCTGCCACTGCAATCAGCAGTGAATGCTTGTCAGCAATAAAGACATTGCAAATACCACCAGTCCTTTGGAGTCTTGGTAACTAAAATGAATAGGGCTGTTCATGACATTATTTCCTTAGCAGCCCATATGGGATTGCAGCTGGAAGATTTTCTTCTGGCTAGAAACAATAGCACTATGTTTTGTTTTCAAATAGGATAAATCAGTCCATTTTGCTCAGTGATCTAGTATGCAGAGAAGTGATGGTTGGACCTAACTGGGTCCCTGTGCTACTTGGTTAACAAAGAGACCAAAGTGCAAAGAAAGATTGTTCCTATCTAGTATGTATCGTGGGTTAGCACAAAGACAGCAATTACAGTACAAATAATATTTTAGATACCTTTGCAATCCTTGAACCACATCTATTTTATCATCTTCATAGGTGGCTCTATTTGGTAACTCTTTCAGGTGCCTTGGGGGAAACTGCCTATTTACCAAAATGCCAACCAACAGATCAAGCTTTATAGATTTTAGAACAATAATCCACACCTTGAGTTAAGCAGATAAATAGCATTTGCTTTATCACTAGTCATTTTCTGTTTAAAGTAATTTATCATTTGGCCAGGAAGAATATAAAAGCCTGAAGCTCTGTTTGGTCATGCTGGTGCAGGAACACGTAAGGGGCAGCAAAGAGTAGTTTAAGGTTCTGTTTCATCAATTTCCTAATTCCTAAGGCTTTGATGACCAATTCACTTCCCTGAAATAGAACAAAATAACTCCAGGCCCACAGCAGTAGGAATAATAGTAAAAGGTATGGAATTGCCAGACTGCAATATGTGAGAGCTGTGTCTTGGTTTGCCCTTTGAGTATAAGCTTTTTTAGGCAGACCTTTTGTACTAATTATATGCAGATCCTTTGTACTAATTATTAAGATGGAAACAACTCACAGTTAGAGGAGATTTTCTATTAAAAGGTGAATATTTTGTTGTCTTCCTTAAAGCTGAATTTTTGCAAGAGCCAAAATCCAAAAGGTTTGATTTTTCTCTAATATATCAAAACCATCTCTTTTTTAATCAGTATAGAATTTTTTAAAAAACAAGTAGGCTGAATTGAATATCTAGACATATCAGGTGAATATTTAGAAATGGCAGATGTGTTTTTAGTAATTAGCATAAGCTAATGAATCATTAAAAGAAGAAAAAGGGTAAAATATCCAACACATAGCCCAATCATTACTCCATCTGTTAACACCACTAACAGTTTTGTAGGTGATGTGAGTATAATGGGTATGTTTGATCATTTCCTTAACTCTTTTTTTCCACAAAACTTTCATTTTATATTCCAAGCTTGGCTGAGTCAGGCTCCTAAGCCTTTCTGTCTCATCCTTAAGTACAGCCCAACAGACTTTGGACCCTCTTTCATATCAGGGAAATTTTATCAGGCTCCACAAGTGAGTTCATTACATCATATATCCTGCATAGCCCAAAATGAAGTTCCATTACAAAATCATTGCATAAATAAAGCCAGTGGGTTATGGCAGCTATTTCTACACCCTTTGAAATGAGACTGTCTGCATTCAAAAGGAGGATTCTGTTGGCAGTTATCCACTGGTTGCATACAACTATAGACACAGAGGCGTCCCTGGAAAATATCAGCAGTTAGACCCAATACTGAATAAAAGAAATTACTCGACACCTGGTATGTATGGCACCATCATCTTCCCTCCTACACTTACTGGCATTCAGATTATGAAGGCTATTAAATCTGGAGGCTAACAGAAATGAAGCTGAAAAGAGCATTGGAAATATACCATCAGGAAAGAAATCTTTTAGAGAAGAACAGCTCAAGTCTGAAGAAATAACCAAACCACTGGAGAGACAGTTTGGACCAGACACAAAGAGTCACATTTTCAAAGCTTTTACATGACTGAATTGGGCTTTTGTGTCCAAAGCAGAAGACTAATGTAGAAACTGAGTCCACTAATCATTTTCAAAATGGGAAAAACAATGTAAATGGGCAAAAAAATCGCTTGATATACCAAAATCTGCCAGAGGCATATCAACAAATGTTTGAAGAAGGAACTAATGATGGAAATTTCATGTGCCCAGAAAGGGATCTGAATTGATCCTTGGAAACATGGAGAGAATCTGAAACTACAGCAGTCTGCATTGAGCTGAAAATTCTAGCAATATCCGTGTTGTCTTTAGCACTGCCATGTTTCAAAGTACCAAGGTTAGCTTCACTGAAGAATGTTGCAGAGTGCAGTTAGAGATGACTGACAAGTGAGGCAAGTATAAGTAGAAGGTAAGGAGCACAGAGAGTCTGCCAGAAGCTGAGGAAGGGGAGGAGGCAGGCAGGCTCCTCAGGGGTGCCACAACTGCACCACCCTCCTTTCTTGGTTACACTATGTAAAAAACCAATCAGGATAAAGACTGAGGTTTGTGGCTCTTAACATTGCCTAGGATTACAGATGAGTAAATTCAAAGATCTCACAGGTCTTCTTATGTTTTTATATTAGCAATTTTCTCAGGGTTTCTGCACTCTCTGTTTACATATAAGCATCTCAGGCAGGTATTTTTGTGATCAAGGGTTATAATGCAGTAAGTAAACAAATCAGACTTCATCAGGGAATAATTTCAAAGACACAAAGGGTCATTAGTACCTGAAAACCAAGCGATACCTTGGATTTATGTAACTTTGGAATCAGAATATTCTCTGTTTCCTTGGCCAAACCACTTCCTGACTAGCACTTCCCACCTTGGGAACTTTGATGTCACCACGCTGACCTCTGGCACACACATTGCTCCAGTCGCCTATCCCATCCAGGTCTCTATTTCTAGGCTCTGGGTTTATGCAAGCAGCATTTGACAGGTGTTTTAGGCTTAGTGTTAATTATTTTCTAGTATTAGAGTCAGACTAACAATGAGGATGTGAGACTGTGAGCAAGTTTACCATGCAATTTAAAATTGATATCAGGGCATATTCACTTCCATGAATATTTCCATTTCGGAGAGAGAAATGCTTACCTGTTCTGGTAAATAACTCCTTTTAATGCCCTCTTGGCAGAGCTCACTGCCTAGCGGGCAAGCAGCCCTAGATTGACACCGAATTCCACAAAGGAGAAAATGCCAACTTTTCATCATCAGCAGGAAAGCTGCAGAGTACAAGCTTTCCACTTAAATTACCATCCCCTCCTAAATGCCAGCTCAACAGATTGCAAGAAGGAAGCACATACTTCACACTCTGCAGGAAAATTGTCTGGTGTAAGTTTTCAAGCATGCTTGGGAGCCAACCAATCACAATGTTTTGTCAAATTCTGCTTCAGAATGAAATTCAAAGCCAGAAGAATATTTACTAGAAGACGTTAAATTTAGTCACTTAAAAATGTTTTCACATTTGGGGCCAAATTCAGCCTTGGCCGCCTCAGTCAATGAGAACAGACGTGCATCCTCTCTGTGCCTTTGCTGCAGGGTCCTGCTGGGCAGAGACACTGTGGACTACACTTCTCTGCATCCTCTGTGCAAAGAAGAGCATGACCCCATCTGTGACTAATTATCGCTTGTTACAGACCACAGAAAACTGCTGTGGCCACGGGGAGCTAAGAGACACTGCCCAAACCTGTAGGCAGATCAGAGGGACTGTGATGTTAGACTGACTTCTGTGTCCTGTGGAGATATCACACCTGGCTGCTTTAAAAGAGATGGGATGAAGGAATAGCTGTATCCTTAGGTTTTCACTCAAAGAGTTTTGTGCTTGAATGAATACCTCCCTACTCCTTCTGGCTGCAGAAGAACCCCCTATCTGAATGCAGTTATGTTGGAAATAAAAAGTAAGATTTAGAATACTGGACTCAAGGAAAGCCCATGCCCCAGGATTTTTTAAATCCAAGTAGCACCTCTTCGAAAATAATGTGGAGGAAAGAAAGCAGAACACGTACTCTTAAGTGTCTAGAGCAGCATTATTCACCATCACCAGGGACCGAAAATCACAGCAGAGTACTTTATAGCACTAAAGCTAGGTTGGGCAAAATAGAGTGGAATTTCCATACTCCACAATGAAGATTTTGGGGAAAAATCTCAATATTCAGCCCAATTTTCACAGGCTTCTTGGAATAAAATATAAATCTTAATATTAAACAATTTTCTTAATTGAAGTAATATATATATCTACACACATTTTAAAAATTAGTTTTTAAATCTATACAACCAATGTGTTGCCTCAGAAAGGCTTAAAATTATCTGGAATTATTGGAATTATCTGAATTAATCTTTTCCTTTGTTTTGACAGATGCTCTTTTAATGGACCAGTTCTCAAATCATGAGATGGTCACCCTGCCTTTTCACCTTCCAGAAGGTTTTCTATGTTTACATTTTGGATTTCGAGGGAACCCAGCTGCTTAATCTCTTCTCACCTCTTAGGAAGATTTCCTTCCAAGGAGATAACCTACAGTGCTTCTAATTAGGTCTGCAAATTGTCAAATGGATTTTTCTCCAAGTGACATGGAAACTTTCTGCTTGTAAACAGAAGCATAGAGAGAAAAACCTAAGAGATCAAAATATTTTAAAAAACATTTTCCATGTAAACTTTCTAATTAAAAATTATCTTTATAAAGTTTATCCTTAGTTTATTTCCTTTTTAGTTTGTTTATTATTTAAGAAGGTATTCACAAGCCAAACCAAACAGAGCCATTTCAGATACCATAGGGTTGTGTTCTTTCCAGTTGCTGTCAGAAAGGGTGTGGATCTCCTCGAAATTCTCTGTTACGTATACCAGTCCTTCCATGCTCAAATTATTTACAGAATATTATTTTGAGAGAGTATTATTTTCCTAGTGTCTTCACTCATTTCTTAATCTAAGATAAGAGTTACAAGTTATCTTACTAAATAAATCACTAAACTATAAGTCATGTATAAATTAAATTACATCTATTTTGGATGTCAACCTGTTTTCCTTCTTGATTCTCTGAGAGAAACTAAGAAGACATTTTGCACTTGTAAATTTAATGTTACCTCTTAGGTAACATCAGACCAGCACTCCCTGAAAGTTGAAAGTTGTAAGCTGTGGCTAGTTTTAGAATTTTTTTTAAGTGTTATTCTGTTGGTAATAAGACACATGAAGCAATGAATTTCTATATAGAAAAGTCCTGGCCAAAAACAACAAAAGAAAAGAAAAAGTTTTCAAAAAGCTCTGCAAAATGTTTATGAATTCTAATCCTCAGCACATGAATAAATACATCTGACAAACTGCAGAGTACCTCACAAAGGCTTTTCCCAGCCTTTCTAATTTGAGTTCAAATACATGTGTAGAGTTTAGAACTCAAGTTAATCTTGCCAATGTTTTTAACTAGGGGTGCAGCATATACAGTTATTTGTAAAAGTGAAAGGTAGATAATAAATTATAATTATCCTATTAATCACCTGCAAAGAATTGCATTCAGAGAAGAATGTATCCTTAAATTATAGTAATTGGTTGTTTAAAGAAAAAAAAATCATGCTTGGCAGAACATGCTTGGAGTTTGCTGTGCAAGTTCATGAATAGTGTGCTGAAATCAAGCAGTGTATATATATACTGTGGGCCATGTGGTACAAATTGCCATCAATCTATTTCTAACTGCTAACTAGATATCAGACTTTCTCATTAGTGTCTGCTCCTCGGCAACACCTTTACTTTTTTTTTAGGCCAATGTTAGTTTCTTGTGGCACTCTTGGTAGCAACATTCTCTGGAGTACTGTTCTTCTCAGCCGTAGCATATTTTGTCTTTGAAATTCTGCTGCACCAAACCATTTGATGCATGTCCCAGAAGACAATGTTGTTAGCAAAAGGACATGAGAAAAATGCTTATTGCCTTAGATATTTCAAGTCATTAAGGACTATGTTCTTTTACAAATGAATTAAAAATGACTGCATGGGGTTTTTTGTGTTCATTCTCATTCAGTGATAGCAGAAATAGTAGTTGGGTTTGATACAGCAGCAACACGAAATAAGGCAGGTTCTATAAATGAGTATCACCATCAAATGGTCATAACTGGATAGAGGGACCCAGGCACCTACACAGAGAAGGACACATCCCACCATTAGCATAGAACTATTCACATTACTCCAAGGGAGAAAACTTCAGGGAATGGGTTTAGAAATTCTATGAAAAGCCGCTGATGTTGTAAGTTGCTGTCACAGGGAAGATGGCAACAGAAATATCAATGAGAGTGCCCTGGAATGGCAGCTGATCAGGAAGAAAATGCTGCATTCACTAAGGTTGTCAAATGCCTCAAGCTGGGTTCTGTAATCCATATTTCACTACCTAAATAAAAGAACTAATGCTGAGCTGAACAGCTTTTTTAGTAGTGTATATACCACCACATTGGAAAACTTTCCTAATGGAGTTTGTCAAAGGTGACAGTAGATAAAACCCATCAAAACCTTTCTTTTTTTTTTTTTTTTTATTCTGGTGTCTATTTCATATTTATGTGAATAATTTTGAAAAACCTAACACTTTATTCCTTCTATGTATAATGCAAAAATAATAGGCATTGTTGGTGTATCATAAAGATGCAAAGCAAAGTTTTAAAAGAACATTTAGAAAATTCTTCTACCCAACATCCATCAGAAGACACATTACTTCACCTTATTCACATAGGTAGGAAGCCTTGAAGTGGAAGGGAACTGGCAGACTAGCCTGCAATTTGGCATTAATACATTTGATTGGAGAGATTATATAGCTATTAAGACTTCCCCTGAGGGGAAAACAAAGTAGCACACTCCCTTTATAACAAGATCTTGCAAAAGTCACAATTTATGGTAAAGGCTTTTGCCCCTTTGTAAATTATTTTGGCTGCACCTCCAGAAATTTTTTTTCCTTCTTGCTGTATTTATTTATAGGATAAAAGATCTTTCTTAATGGACAGCAGAAATATTTTCACTAATAGGAATCCTTATCTCGCATTTGTATACATAAATAGCACATACTCATGTTTACTTAGTCTTATAGTCTCCTCTTAAAAGGTGTTAACATATACAGTGTTTGGTAACTCTTGGAAACTCCATTTCAACTGCATACAGATCAACCTGAATCTTCATTTAAATTTTTTTTTAATCTTCTACACATTTTCATTAAAGTTTCAGCAGTGAAGTGTCAAAATACTGCAAAATATGTGCCTTTGCAATACCCAGTTTCTGAGATTACCAGTTACCTTCAAAAAGCCAATTTTTTTCCATGATAGATGGCTAAAAGGTCCATTTCTAGTAGATCATATGTGCACCAATGGCTACCAATGATGTCAAGCCTGGTACTCAGCACATCACTAAAAGCAACTTGGAGGTCTTAAATATGACTCAGACCTGGGAATAACTTAGACATGAACTAAAGAATTTGTATAATCATCTAATTTAGAGGCATTTATGCAAACCAGTTCTGTTAATTTCTAAGACATATTCAAATTTCATGTTTTTTATACCAAACAAAAAAAGGACCGACACCATTGTTACTAAAAGAATACCAAAGATAGCTGCTTCAGCAAACTTTTCTCATTCTCTCCACCTAGAATGATTTATGTTTTACCTCATTTCCTAGAAGGGCATTTATACAGGCTTCAGAGGCGTCACAGATGGCAGTAAGGTCATGTCCTCCCTCCAGTGCCAGCACCACGCGGCCATCCGCCAGCTTCAGCAATTGCTTGGTTAGGTGGCCAAAACCTGGTATTCAAATACAGGAGCGCAAATAATTAGAGCAGTACAGGCATTGCAGGCATATTTCACAGCTGCTGCATGAGAATGTAGAAAGCTCTGGAATAATGTACAGGGAGCATAGGATATACTTAGTCCAGTGCCCTGTTTCTGACCATGGCCCACACCAGATAATTTGGAGTTAGTATAATGAATTTTTTATGAGGCACATGTGAGATAATGGCCCTCATGCTGATCCCTCATTGCTGGAGATAAGATGAAACATGAGGATGTCTCTCTTCTTACCTTTCTTAACCATTATCACCCTGGATTCTATTCCTGTTTGCATATCAGTGTGACATATAGCCATGTTATTTAGAGAGATCTGACATAACCTTGGTCACTTATGGCATTGACATGACAAATAATATTTGTAGTTAAACTATGGTGCTATAATTACAAATTATAGTGCTTTCCAAATGGTAGATGAAGGGTGTTTTATTTAAAAATTACTTCTTCCTTTGTATTTGAGGTTTGAGAATAATATAAAATCATGGACTGAGAGATAGTGGAAACATATGTTACCTCTTAGCTCCATCTTGAAGTGTTTTTAGAAGCAGCACTAACAACTTTAATTCAGGGTTTTGGTATAAGTCGAAACTGTCTAGAACTTCGTAGCTATCTCTACCAGTATCACTCACTCCTGACCAAGAGTATTCTAAGAAACTCTGCACCATAGCCAAAAATGATGGTACTTCATTTTCTGTGGTGATCTATAACTACACAGACATTACCACAATGTTTTCATCTGTGATTCAAATAAAGTTAATTTATTACATTTTTAATGACAAGAAAAATTGCATGAAATATGGCAATTTGGAGTGAAGATTTTTGGAAGAATTTTTGTGGTAGTTTCCTAGGACAGCTATTGTTTTTGTTCAATCTCTTTCAAGTAAGAAATGATAAATAAAGATTTGAAACTATTGACGTTAAATAAACATCACATCTTGTTCTTAACTTTCCCACTTGATCTGTACTAGTTGCTCCATTGATGGTCATCACTACTCATTCCAGCATATTTCATTTCCTTAAGTAAAGCATTAGAAAGTATCTGCTGAACCCTGGAGTTCTATAAAGACAGGAAAATCAACATTTTTTGTTCCAATGAAGAAGACCGCCAAAAATTAAAACTGTGAAAATTACAAGCATATTTTCCAGAGAAATTCTCCAAACTCACTTAGTTCTGTTTTCATCTTAGGATATAAAATAGACATCTCTGTTAAGCACATGTCCAACCATTTTTAGATTAGGAACTTTAGTTATATCAAATCTGGATTAGCTGTACAGACCTAAAAGCCCCAAAGCAAAGAAACTCCTCTACTTGCTACTTAACATATAGATGATCATAGAAACACCTGAGGTGAAATACTGTTTCCTTGAGCCACTGCCCAATCTTCTGTACCCTAAAACTACCACAGTTTTGATTCTAGCAAAGTAACTACACTGTGGTTCAAATAAAGGGCTTAATAACAAATAAAACCTTAAATTCCCATTTAAACTAAACCTTCTCTCATGAAAAAAAAGCCACAAAAAAACCCCCAACAACCGCCCTTCCCCCCCCCCCCACTCTCTACAAAGGACCAAATTTAGACAGGATAATAAAAGTGAAGGAAGGAGTGGAATGAGGGTAACCTTTGATCTTTAGCCAATTTCTGCTGTCTTTTACCTACAGAAATTATTTCTGTCTGCGTGTTACACATGAGATCTTTAGGTCCGTAAGAAGAGAGTGCCAACAGTGTAAAGTGAGTCAGAGATAGAACATTTACAGGAAATGAAGAAGAATGAACAGGCGCAGGCTCCCCACATCTATAATTCACCCTTTGAGTGTGTCAGGAATCCAACAGCACTTTTAAGATGACACTATCCTTTGTATTATACCGATTCTGTGAAGGGAATGCCCTACCATGTTGCCCCTGCACATTGGAGAATTTTGTATGACTGCAAATATTGCTATGTCCACATCGTAATCTTCTGAGGTTTGTAGGGCAACAAATGTAAATACTCTTGCTATGCCTTTTCTTCATTTAGACAACCATACATAATATAATCCATCATCATTGTTACAATATTAGTTTGTCTGCTTGGTTTCCTGATGATTTTCTTAGTATCAACGCTACAATAATCACCACTTACTGAATCAGGATACAATGAGGCTCACATTAAGCATCTTTTCAAACAGAGATCACGGTAAAAGGATTCCAACCCAGATTAACATGATGGTGCTTTTCTTCAGTATAACTACCCTAAGAAAGTAAAGGTGACTTGCTAGAAAATGAAGAAATAACTTTAGTCAACAGTACCAACACTGCCAATGACTGAATCAGTTATGGAAATTCTTAACAAAGAAACTTGGATCCCGTGTCACTGCAGCAACCTAGGAAAGATGTTAGCTTCCTCAGGGAAATCCCCTGGAGTGCAGAAGTAAGAAAATGGAAAGAAAGGAATCCCAGTCAAGTAATAGTTTTAAGATGGGCTGTAGTTTATGCCAAACGATTAATGAAAACAAGAAGAAAATAGTAACAAGCACCATTAAAAGGATCCGTCATCTCCCTTGATATACTGAGATCAAGCACTGGCCAACTTAAGGTGAGAAAGGAGTCAGACAAGCATTTTGAATCCTGGGCCTTCCAACTCACACGAATATCTAGAAATCAGCAGCAGTTCTTGGCCCTTCTACTGTACCTGCTGAAATCTTCTTGTAAATGTGCTCAATGATTTTGTATTTCAGAGAAGTGCAGCATTTTTTAAAATTAGGCTCATGCAGTATGCCAGGAAATTGTGAGAATGGTTTTGTGCCAGCTATTATTTTCATAATTTCTGTAATTTAAATGTAATTTAAACACTGAAAGTACTTGCTTCATCAACAGACCCAACATTTTGGCATCCTAAGTAGAACTTGCAAAAGCATTAAATACTCATTTGCTATCATCCTATTAAATATTATTAACCTTTGATTTCCACAAGAAACAAAAAACTCCTAAGTAATTCTGAAATTCCAACTCACCAAGTGTTTTATATTTTCTACATAAAAAAAACCAGAGGTGCACAATGTACATCTAAGCAGAGAAGGCTAGATTAAGAATTATAAACCATGTTATGCCTCACAGAGATAAGCTGTATATGAGCTGTTATCTTCCAACCTTTGAAGTAAGAATACAAAATTTCAAAACAAAACCATAATGTGTAATTTTTAATTATACCTTTTCGCCTCCTGCAGTACTATTATCAGAAGAGATACAATACTCAGACTTGTGTAAGAAATTATTCTAGTGTCGGAAAGCGGAAAGAGAAAATTATTATTCTATTATACTAACGTGCAATCTGGCAGGCTATTATTGAGGGACAGAGTGTGCTGATCACTTGAATTACCATCTAAGGAAGTAGTTCATGTTTTAGTGGACTGATGGACTGGTGACCCTGTAAGGATCTTGGTTTTTTTTTTTCCTATTTGCAACAGATAAGTTCCCCCTAAACTCTTTTTAGTTCTGCTAAGCAGCAAGGAATGGCATGGGTGATGTTCCTGAAGCCTCATTTGACCAAAATCGGTGGAGCAACTGTACTCTAACTGGACTTACTGAAAACCATAGAAAGAGAATCCTGAGTTATTTCAGTTTTCTTTTGTTTTTTTCTCAGGTATCCTTACTCTGATAACCTGAAAAGGACAGTGGCAAACAGCAGGCAGTTAAAACACCTCTTATCCAGCTCCCCTCTGACAGGATCATTACATAACCATGTGTTGCATTATGTGTGGTTGAAGTAAAGCTAACCACAGAGCTGATATGGACAACTTCCCGTTTTGCAAAAGAAGCATTTGAGAATGAAGACAACTTGTGAATGTTATTTTTTTGCATCCTTTCCTCAGCAGACAGGGAAAGGAGCCATATGGATGGGGCAAACTCCCAGCCAGCACCTCAGCACTAGTTTGCATAAACAGTCATATATGCAACTCAATTTGCTTGCCAGCAAATGTGCAAACACCCAGTTAATGGGGACTAAACCTGCCTCAGCAGAACAGACACTCCTTTCCTCTCCCCCACTATGCATAAGGAGAGCAGATGTCTCCTGCACAGTCATTTTTCGGATGATGGCAGGCTGAACAAAGCCGTGGTGTTGGCCCTTGCTCATGGGAGAGGGCTGGTGAAGGAACAAGGACACGTCAACAACCAAAAGGTTGGAGAAGCTTTAGAGTTATGGAGAAAGCATCAGCTTTTTCAGCCTCAGCAGCAGGGCCCCAACAGCTCTTTTGGCTTCAGTGTCTTAAAAGCTATAACCCAACCCTAAATTACAGGCAGAGCTCTGGTGAGCTCCTCTGGATACTCAGACCAGCCTGGAGAGGAATACATGCAAAACACAAAACCTCCACAGTCTCTGTCCTGGACCTCCAAGCGTGTATTTAACTATTATTTACCATTTAATCATGTCATTACTCTCTAATTTACTTGACAATGTGTTTTCCTCTCATTAAAACTGTTGCGATGATCGCTGCCAAAATTCTACCCACCAGTGTTCCGTGCTCCTTCCCTGTGGTTCTTTCGTGACTATTTGATTAATTTTCATTGATATTCTTCCAACAATAGCATCTAAAATTAACTGGGTCAGTTTTTACATAACTTCCTGAGTCACCAGGCTACGTGTCCTAAATAAATATGTCCATACAGGAGTCAAATGATAATTTACCCTTCCAGCACTAGCAGGGGCTGGGACATTTTGCAAAGCTTGTGTTCTATGATAGGAGAACATATTTTACTCTCAGCTCTTAATTCAGGACCTTTTATTCAATCAAAACTTCATTTGGATGAAGTCAGAGACTTGACTCAGTTGGCAGGATGTGGCCTTGAGTGAGGGGGAAAAGGAGATTTTAACGCCAACTACATTCCTATGAAAAACATTTTCCAAATGGCTGAAATTGCAAATGTTAGTGTTGAGGTACCTGAATTTAAATGGTACACTTGGCCTCCAGGCATTAGCTG